GTAGCACTGGCTGTTCAGTCAATTACCATTAGAGATAAGGAAGACAGATACTACACTTTCATCCCAGCTTAATAACCAGAGAACAACAAAATGTGTAACTCAAGTAGCACTGGCAGCTCAGTCAGTGAATGCCAAATGTTTACTTATAAGGAAACACTTGGCCTTCACAGCTACTATTATCATTACTTTTAAATATGAGGAGAACAGATACTATACTTTGATCCCAGCCAGTGAGCAAAGTAAAGCATAACACAAGTAGCACTAGCTACTTAGTCAATGAATGTTCTCTTTTCTGTTATTCTGTTTACAAAAGAAAATGAAATTTAAGTCAATGTTACATAGAAAAAATTAAGCATTATATAAATATAGATATTCTTTACAAACACAGTATTAATAAAAATATAATCTTATTTACTGAAAATAATAGCCTCATATTGCTGAAAATCACAATTGCATTAAAAACTATATAATACAATCATATAGTTATTATAATGTATTAATTAAAATTATGAAACAAATACAGATGTTTTAATATAAATAAATACCACATTGTTTCTACTGAATGTTTAATTTAAAACCAGTTTTTTCAAGAACATCACTTCTACAGCAAATAAGATACAATTTCACTTAGGTTAGTAGAAAAAACATTTAGTCAAGTTGAATGGTTAGTAAATTCAATCTATGTAAATGTTAAACAAATGTTGTCTTGTTAAAAATTTGATTATGTTCAAGTTAAATCCAGATTAGTAGCATATATAATTAGTTCACTATTTCTAATGTTTTACTAATCTAGCCTTTGGATTCATTAGTAAAGTAAGTGTCCCTTTGAATCACACAAAAGTTGTCACCAAAAATACCTGGAGTTGGAGAATATTTGGCTGATTCCTCACTGAGGTTTTGGATTTCAGAATATGAAACAGAATCTGAACCTTTGGCTGTTGGATTTTCTGAATGAGAAAGCCCAGTCCACAATAAAACAAGTAATGTAACAATAAAGGTATTTTTCCCCCAACACTACAAGAATTAATATATATATATATATATATATATATATATATATATATATATATATTTATATATGTATGTAAATTTTTATGCGTTTCATCCATTAGGATTTTATCAGACTAAATTTGTTATATTAGTTTGACTATACATGTGCACAAAGAAGAAATACTGAGAATTTAAAATTAATTTATTTTTTTTAATCCACCCAATTTCATTTACATTTTTTTTCTTTTTCTATCCATCAGTTTTGTTAGTAGATATCCCATACTATGATAATAGAAGTCCTGTCAGGAATGTTAAAATGTTGTCGTTCATGCACATGTATAGTCACACCAACATAAAAAATTTAGTCCAATTCAGTCCTAAAGAAAACTTTTCTACTTTGTCATACAATTTTCTTGATATATAAAAAATATATATCGTTAATATATATATATATATATATATATATATATATATATATATAGAGAGAGAGAGAGAGAGAGATCTTTGATGGACTATCAGAAAAAAGTTTCTATTGCCTTGAAAAACAAAACAATACAAATTCATTTTCTTTAAAATCTTACCAAAGCAGGAAATACCTTGTAATCAGTGGTTGGCATTCTACTGATTCAAACAAGTTCATGCTACCCAATTCTTAAAATTATAAAAGCTTAGCAAACTGGTTGTTGGATTATCCAGAAATAATCTTATATATTAATAACCGATATATAATAGCTAAAAATATTAATACCATTGCTGTAAGTTCTGCTGAGGCTGAAAGAGGGTTTTCTGTGATTAACATAATTTATTCTGATAATAGAAAGTTCTTCCATTGGGTCTTTGGGACTGCACCAATTCATTTCAAATGTGGCTAAGAAACAATAACACAAGCGATGACACTTGAGTCAAAAAGCATCATACTTCTGGACAGAAATATGATGAGAACAGAATTTCAGTCCGGAAATATGTTAACCTTTCTCACTCTGTATATGACTTCATTTGCTGTACAAAACGTTTATCCTGCCACTAAAGGCAACTCTGATCCCTGAACAATAGTTTGTTTGAATTTCATAGTTGTGTTGTCATATCCAGCTATGGCAACAGAAAACAACTTCGAGTGAAATTAACAATAAGGATACTGCAATTGTGAGGCCCTGAAAAAGAATGCAGTTGAAAGGGAAGTAATATTAATAATGCAGAGTGCTAAAGGTTAATAAATAAATGTTTTCTATTAAATTATCATGATTTAATTCTTTTTGATACAATAAAGTGATTTGTTTCCATTCTCAGATTGAAAAAAAAAATAAGCAGAATAGATTCCTAAAGATTCCTAACTCCCTTTATAGAACTGGTACCTGGAAATGATATCTAACATGATTTTGTTTTATTGTACTTGGATTTTGGGATTTTTAAATAAACTGGCAAATATTGCTTTGGTTTTATTTTACTATTATCTTAATTGAAACTTAATAATGAGTTTTCATCAGCAAAGATGGAAAGAAATTTACAGAACCTTTAAAGAGTTCCCAGAAAAGCTAAACATGTTTATTTATAAATTTACTGTTTCCAATGCAGACACACACACACACACATACATATATATATATATATATATATATATATATATATATATATATATATAAATATATATAAATTCAGATATAACTAAAAATATATCTCAAAAAGACAATAGAATGAAGACAAAGGAAAACTTATCATAGCCAACATATTTCATCCTCTGATGGACATGGCTTGATAAAGTCCATCAAAGGATGGACTTTATCAAGTGTTGACTAAATTAATTTTTCCTTTTGTCTTTATTCATATATATATATACATATATATATATATATATATGTGTGTGTGTGTAAATGTTTATGTCTGTATGAGCCCTGGTGGATGAGCAAGTGTGTATGTGTGTCTGCGTACCTCATCGGTTGTATGGACATGCATCTATGTTTGCGTTAGCATGAGTGACATCATGGCAACGACCCCCCCCCACTTCCATAATAATACCAATACACGCAATCTACATAAACCCAAAATTTAAAAAAAATTAATCAGTTTGTCTGACGATCGCAAAAGCGTAAAACCCAGGGTCACAAACTCACATCAATCCAACCAAATATGTATGTATGTATGTGTGTATATATTTAGGCAGCTTATCTTCATTCAAATATGTTTCATTGAATAATATAGACATGTTACATCTATTTATTTTATACTGATCCTTTTCCAGTTCTCTAATCAGTTTCTTTGATGCTAATATGAAATTCATCAAGGAAAGTGCTGTAGATTTTGTTAACCCAAGTACTTTCAATCTTTCCAAGATCATCTTCAGGGGTAAATTACAAAGACAAACTTATTGTAACTGCACGCTGTAATTATTTTCAATTTTTAAATTTATCCATTGTAGCTATGAACTTTTGTGCAAGACAAGTGTTTCAATATAAGTTAGCTGACTGGAAATTGGTAGAAATGTAAAATGGCATTAAATGTTATATGCATTTTAATATACTGTTGCTATATTCATAATAAATTTGGTAGAGAGTTGTTTAGTTGATTTTGATATAGAGGGCTTCAAGAATTTGAAGTTTTTGTTTATTATTTTCAGGATTAACAAAAAAATAGTTTGCTGTACAAAAAGAGAAAAGTAGTAAAAGAAGTTCTTAAGTTTAAATTTTTTATATAAACAACATTTTCAGTAAAACATCTATGTTCCTTTTATAATTATCCTAATTCCACTTAAATTTCTTTCTCTAGACTTGGCTACATAGATCTGACCAGGAGAGAAACATTGAAAAAATTTCATAATGTTTATATTAATAACAATAATAATACTTCAGATAAAACCATAACTAACAGTGGCAGGCCTAAAATTTATAGAATTCTCTAAAAATTTATAGAATTCTCTAAAAATTTATAGAATTTCTAAAAATTTATAGAATTCTCTAAAAATTTATAGAATTCTCTAAAAATTTTATACTTTTAGAAATTATTTACTGACAGAAAATTGATTATACATGACAATTTTTAAAATTTGATTGAGATATTAAAATATACTTTTAAAACATGTTATGCAAATTAAACATTTCCACTATTATAGTAAATGCAATTTGTTAGTAATATATAAAAAAAGGCTATGTAATCACTATATAATGATATCTTTTTTGGGGTACTTCGATATGGTATAACAGTTAACAAGCTTGTCTCACTAAGTCAATTATGACTGAGCAGAGAGTTTGACCCTCAATGGGTGCTCCATACGTTCAGCCTTGAACCACATTTAAGCTAAACTTAAATTATTTTATATTCTGTAACCCTTTCGGTGGTCAGGAGGGTTAAGAAATATTAAGCCCAAACCCCAGGGGGCCTCAGGTAATACCTATCCTTCAGGAGGGGGCTGGGTTTATTGCCCAGCATTCCCAAAAGGGGAAGTGCCAGGGGGGCTTGGGCAATTTTTCCATGGTATTAGCCAGTAAAACTACTTTTAAACATCAACTGTGTATCACATTTGGTAACGATGTGCGTGCACTGAAAATACCCACTATGGAATATCTTTTTTGGGGGCACTTTGACATAGTTTAATGGTTAACAATCTTGTCTCTTTAGATCAATTACAACTGAGTAGTGAGTTTGATACTCATTGGGTGCCCCTTACTTTGTGTCTCATCCAAGCTACACTTAGTAAACTGTTATGAGATGTTTTGCTCAGCAAATTTAAGGTGGGGACTCAGACAGACAAAATTTAACCTTACATAAATTTATAAAAGGTTAACAAGAAAATTTTGCACCATGAAAAACATCAACCTGATGTTTTTAACCTTGTTCCAAACCAAATCAAAAAGCTTTTATGTAGCAACAATGAACTTCCATCATTAGATTTTCATTGAATTTGAAAAATTAAATTAATTTCTTCATTTTTTATAAACATTTTCATAAATTACTGACTATTATTCTTTAAATAAAAGAAAAAAATATTAAAAAAAATCATTAAAATTTCAATGATATACCTGGCCTTTCCTGGGTGGGTTCAGTTTTCTGCAAGTTAGGGGTGGGATTGGTTGGTCGAACAGTATTGGGTGAGGCATTACCTGTTGCATGTGATGGTGATGGATTCACTGGGCGTAATTGATGAGAAACCTCATATTCATCTGAAAATCAATGTTCAAAGAGGAAAAATTAACATACACACACACACATATATATATATATATATATATATATATATATATATAAGGTAATGAAGGGTTTGGTAATCCATGTGGATAATTCCAAAGAGGACGTAATCCAGATAGCTCAATGTAACACCAGAGCAAATATTAATTAAATAATTAAGAAAGAGGCAACCTCAAGGTTCCATGACTATAATTTATTTCCCCAGAAAATATATTTTTCCTGGTTCATCAGGTCACATCTCTAGTTATTTCCAGAGAGCTCAATGTAACACCAGGGCAATTCCAGATAGCTCAAAGTAAATATATATTTTTAATAGAGTAAATGATGTTACTGGTGATAAAAGTAAAAAAAAAAAACATATCAATAGAGGTGACACTACTCCAAAGAAACTGAGATTAGTCATAACAGATAAAAATTATACAGAAGTACATCAGTAAATGTGCAGTCAAATGATAAAGAAGCATTTTTTTTAAAATAAGAAATATTTATTTTTCAACATAATTTCTTTCTTTGTCTAGACACTTCAAGGATGAATTTTAATATCATAGATCAACCATTATCCAGCTGAAATCTATCAAAATTCAGCTAATTACATGTCAGATTGTGAATTTATTGATCCTACTTCATAGTTGCATGTCTGTAAGCAAATGATGAAAAAAGAATTTATTTTACACAAAAAAATATTAATTTTCAACAATCTTCCTTATCAATCACTCAGCTGGTATGAGGTGGAAAGATTATATTGAATCCATTGCTAAGTCTGCTGTCAAAAAAGTTGGTTCACTGTGTCATGCTAGACAATTTTTCTGACTCCATCTTACATATATATGAATCAACCATTTGTCCCTGCTTTGAATATTACATATGGTCCAGTGCTCCTACTTCATATTTAGAGAATGTAGATAAAATCCCAAAATGAATCAGCAATATCATTGATCTTGACCTGGCATCTCAGCTCCAGTCACTTTCCCACCAACATAAAATAGCTTCACTGTGCCTTTTGTATAAATACTGGTAATTGTTCGGATGAGCTCTTCACTATGGTATGTAGGCTTTATGAATTTAAGCGCAGTCCTAGATTAGCAACAAAGTCCTATCAGTTTACAGTTGAATCGGCTAGATGTCACCATAAGTTCTATGCTAACAGTTTCTTTTCTCACACTGCTTACTTGTGGGACTCTCTTCTCGCTTCATGCTTTCCAGCCAACTTTGATCTTCAAAAATTTAAATAAAATCTCAATTGTTATCTGTCTTCCTTATTACTCTCTTGTTGTTCTCACTCCTCAATAATTGGTTGTTTTTCAATTCTCTCACACCCAGTAAACCTTTGTGTCTTTGTGGATCTACTACCGTACATTAGGTGCTTTTGATTAAAAAAAATTTAATTCGGTAGCAAATATTAAATGGTAAGATCAAGCATCATACAGTGATAATTTCAGATCAAAATTCAATGTGTCAGGTTACTGACTTATTAATCTAGCCTGATAAATGGTAAGAATTTTTGCACAAAACATTTCAAATACAATGTAAATCTTACGTTCAATCTCAGATGAATAGGTACCAATGTAACTATTTCTTGATAATGGTGTCATGTATCTTTGGTGAGTGGCTGGACCTGAAAAATATAACAGATCAGAAATTTGAGGGTTTAATTAGCAATCAGGAGACTAAATATATAGGAAATATATTTAAATTTTACTGAAAAGTTTTGTTGATTAATTATCTACTATCATTATATGACCTACAAAAAGTTTTCCATCCCATTAAAATCATTACTACATCTATATATAGTTGATAACAGTTAGGTACAATATATTTTAAAGGTTCAACAAAGTAAAACTAGCATCTGCTCTCAAAAATGGCCTCCAATCAATTGTTAACAGGGGCAAGAAATGGCTTGTAAATTTTAACACCATAACAAAACTTTTATTCTTTAATTATCACAGAGAACCATTTTTGACCTCCATCATCAGATGAGCAATGCATTGCACCTTCTTGGGATAACATTTCCTACTGATATGAAGTGGAACGATTATATTGAATCAGTTGCTAAGACTGCTGATAAGAAGGTTGGTTCACTGTGTCATGCCAGACAATTTTTCTCATCAGAATCCATCTTGCACATTTATAAATCTATCATTTTATCTGTGCATTGAATATTGCAGCCATATCTGGCATGGTGCTCTGACTCTATATATCTCAAGATTCTTAATAAAATCTTAGTGGCATTATTACCTTACTGGGATGAAATGATTAAAAACAAAACAAAAGAAATATTATAAACATGATTAAATATGTTTGATAAGTATTAAATGTTTGCAACCATGAACAGAACATGTGAGAAATAAGGACGTTCTAAAGAAAATAGGAATACTTATAATCAGAAAGTAACAGTTGAAATTTCTGGGACATGTTATGAGGAAAGAAGGCCTGGAAAATCTAAAACTCACTGGACATATTGAAGGTAAGTATTAGGCATATGCAATTTCTAGAAATGTTTTTCATACATCTAATATAATTTATGTCTTTATTTAGACTATTTACAGTGCTTCACAAAAGTAAGTGAACCTGGAAGATAATATTAAAAAAAACTGTCTCTTTTTTCCAGATAATAAACAAATCTTAATTAAAATATTCATTAAGAAAACATTTATTAACAGAATTACAACCACTTTCAAAGATTTTTATTAAACTGGAATAAAAATATTAATTAAAAAGTAAGATGTGCAAAAGTAAGTGAACCCCTACATTTTCACTCTGTATTTTTGTTTTACATGGTTGACAGTGGAGCTTATAATTTTATAAGAATAAAAAATAATAATTCATAAACTGCTGTTAACTTGGAACACACCTGGCTACCTTACAGGTAGCATTAGTGTTGCCAGATGCACTGGTTGAGAAATGCTGATATATAATAAAATGAAAATATCAGTGTAACTATCCAAATATAATTTATAATACAATAATGGCAGGTATTTAGAGATGTGATAACTCATTCCTCAATCATTGGATATAATCATTAAAACGTATAATAAAACACAGAAAAAAACATTCTACCTGTCTTTACATCAATATTGTTATGTTTCACCGGATTTGTTTGTAAAACTGGAAAGTTGGAAAGTTTCTTAAGTTTCCCATCCAGAGTTTTAATCTGAAAAGATACATTTTCATAATGATACTTTGCTAAACCGTTTTCATAATCATAGAAATGATTTAATTTTACTGAATCAAAATTCCTGTATTTACACGTACAAAGTGCCTTATATTTAAAGATTTCAATAAAAGAAATATACATTTATACTTGTCAACATATATTAATGTTTGGTCCTGCCCTTTTGTACAATGATTATATACAAAGTATGAAGAAACATGTCAGGTCACTCTACAAGTGCTACTTGTACCATGTAACTCAATACTACCTGACACATTATCAAGTAATTGGTGATTAAACCAGTTCTGCCACCAGACATTTCTGGTGAGATAGGTGGCTAGATATCTTACAGGAATAAAATCAAGATCTGCCAAAGAGTAGATGAGCCTTCTTGTAAGGTCAACAGTTATCTAGTACAATAGTGTAGACTGGGCTCAATAGCTCTTTATACAACCAATGTGTTACTAATATGTCATCAGAGGGTGGGGAACTTCCTACACTGAAGACAACAGTCAGGGAAAACAGTTCATTCAATGGAATCAATGGCTACATGTCCATGGCCCAGGGAAGCCTCCAAATTGAAGGACATCAGCTATGTTCTCTTTTTTTTTTTTTTAATCATTTTGTCCCAAGCAAGGCAATAATGCCACTAGGATGCAGGAAGAAAAGTTTTGTGTGGTGATTAAATGAAAGCAGTTTTGTTTTGCAGGCATTAAAATTTACAATCCATTTCTTGCCCCAATTGGTCACTGATTGGAAGTCCTTTTTGAGAGCAGTTACCAATTTTATTTTCTCAGGTCTATTGGACTTGCTTGCATCATCTGCATAAATATCTATCTGGGAAATAATGACATCAGGGAGGTCATTGATGAAGAACATAAACAGCATAATTCCAAGGATAGAGCCCTGAGAGATCTCCGCTTTAGTATGAATTGATCTGAATGCATACCGACTCAACGCAACCTTCATTACATAATTTGTTAGAAATGATTGGATTAAGCCAAATATTCGTCCCTTGAGACTGTAGCCCTTAAGTTTGCATTGAAGGCCAGCATGCCAAACACTGTCAAATGCCTATGTGATATCTAGAGCCATAGCCCAAGCTTCACTATTCTTATCAAAATCTTGATAGACAAATTCAGAGATGGCCATTAACGCATCAGCAGTAGACCTGGAGAAATGGAAGCCATATTGTATGTTTGAAAAGAGGCCATCTGAAGTAAGATGCTTAACTAAACGAGTGTTGATTAGAGCCTTGAGTATTCTGCAAATTTACTAGATTTACCTACCCAAGACATACTACACATGAATGTATACTTTCAACCTTGGTGAGGTGCTCAGCTAAACAGTGACCTATGACCACACCCAATCATGATAGTGGTGATGATTAAGGAAAATTTCATTAGAAACCAAGAATGCTATGTAATATCAATCCTCCTATATGGCAGTGATTGGGACAATTTCCTCAAAGATGAAGATGAGAGTTAAGGTAACAGAGATGTGGTTCTACAGAAAGATGCTGAGAATATCATGGACAGTACATGTGAGCAACAAGGAAGTTTTAAAGTAAGTGGAAGCAGAAAAAAACACTTATACTTAGAATCAGAAAAAGACACTTGAAATCTTTGGGACATAGAATGAAGGGTTAGAAAATTCGATACCCACAGTATATACTGAAGACAGGAGGGGACAGATGGAAATAATGAGTAAGTTACCTAACAAGCTTGTTTAAATGGATGACAGAACAGGAAGTGGGAGAGAGAGTAAAATAAACATTGCTAAGGGCCACAAAGAATAGGAAATTGTGGAGAGTCACAATTGCCAACATCCTGGAGGGACATGGCATATAAAAGAATAAGAATAAGCACCTGTTACCTGACTCTATATAGATGTATTTATTATTTCAATAGGATGGTAAAACTCATTCTAGCACATACAAGTAGGTATCTATCAGGAGTTTACTAAAGTGGCTAGCATAAAGTGGCTAGTCCCTCTTAAAGACACCTGCTTAGACACATTTTTGTTTCTCCACTTTTCACCTACACACCTGTGGTTTATATTGCAACTATGCTTACAGTTTCTGGGAGAGAGCTCATAATCTGGCATGATCAGTCATTGAACAAAGTCAGCCTGCTCAAACCCTCAGTCACAATGACTTGTGACTTCATGCTAGCACAACTGTTGATTGCTTCAGAACAGTTTCATCTACCATTGGGTGTATGACTGAATGGTTAGGATGTTAATGTTCTGAGACCCAGGTTCAAATCTCACCATGCTCTAATTGTGAAAAAGATGATATCTTCATAATATCAGCCTGAGGAGATGAACCTATCATATATCAATCATTCAATTAAATGCCATGCATAATATGTAATACACACTTGAGTGATCATGTCTCTTTCAATTCATGACTGACTAGGCAGTAGATGGCTATTTCTTCCTGCGGTAGACTGCCCACCAAATCTATAGGACCCCCAGACTGTACTGTTATTCAACCCATAGGGAGAAGAGATGGATTCATACTTTTATTTGTATTTGTGCATAAGTGTATGTAATTAACCTGACGGAAATTTGAACACAGCTCTCCATTTTCTCATTTTAAGACATTATTCATTACACCATCCACACATTCACAATTCATATATAATGGTAGTAATTAAAAGATCAAGACAAAGCTTTAAATAAAATTGAAATATTTTTCATGAAGTTAGTATTTAGTCAACCTGACACCAAGAATTTAATCATAGACTTCAATCAAACTCTGAAATAGTTTCTGTCTATATTTTTGAGATGCGGTATGTACACTATTTACATTATTCGAACTATTGTCCTCATCTTTGTTGCCATATTTATTACAACGTTTCGGCCATTGTACACTCTGGCCTTCTTCAGGTGGTTGGAATGTTGAACTGAACCATTTATTTCGCTCACTGGGGTAGACTGTTCTAGTTCCACATGCCATGTTTTAATGGATGTCAGCTATCAGTTATCTCCTGTTAATTCCTTAACCGGGGTATTGAACTTACACTCTTTGGGTCCTGTCACTGGATCTAACCAACACCTTTATCCACTGTGCCAAGTGTCCTTGAGGACATCTGTGTATGAATTTCTGGGTATTATAAACCTAATGTCTCAGCAACCATTTTTTACTAGTGCTCATATTGCAATTTTTTGCTGTTATCATTACATCTTTTTACCAGAGCTCATATTGCAATTTTTGTTGTTATTATCACTTTTCTCTGGCACTCCTTATTACTGGTTCCCATATTGTATTCATTTCTATGCTTGGTCAGCTCTTGAGATTTTTGTGGCCTAGCATATGTGCTGATTCCTTAAGTTTACAAATTTTCCAATGGTGTTCTTTGTCTATGATCTCAACCTGATCCCACAGAGGGCGGTGATCTCCCTTCTCTCTCCATATGTGGTCAGCCATGCCTGATTTTTCCACTTGCCCTTGGGTTACAGCTTTCTGGTGTTCTTGAAGCCTTACCTTAAGGGGGCAGCCTGTCCCCCCCTTTATATTTCTTTCCACAGCTGCATGGGATAGCATACACACAGTCTTTAGTCATGATCTCCTCTATGGGTGGGTTCTTACTTGGGAGAGATATCTGCGAAGTGTCGTCAAGCTTTTGAAGGTTGTCCTGATGTTATATAGACCGCAGATCCTTTGTATTTTCTCTGATAACCCCTTCACATAAGGCAGGCAGACTGTTTTCTGAGTGGTGTTGTCCTTCTCTTGTCTATCCTCTTGTCTATCCCAGTTTTTGGGGGCTGCTGCCATGTACCCAGGGTAGTTGTTATGCTGTAGGGTACTACTTATACTGATCAATTCTTTATCTAAGTCTCTGGTTCACCACTTATGACTTTTGCTCAGTGTTGTAAGCAGCAGACAATCCCTTTCTTTATGCTGTATGCATGGTGGGAGTTGAAATTGACATACTGTCTAGTGAATGTTGGTTTATGGTATACAGATGTCTTGAACCCATGCTCTGTTCAAGATATTAGAACATCCAGGAATGGGAGTGTGTTGTTACTCTCTTTCTCCATCATCAACTGTATCGAAGTTCTTATCACATGGTCCAGTAGAACCTGAACATCTTCCTGGTGTGGCCAGAGTATGAAGATGTTATCTATGTACCTTAACCATAGAGTTGGCTTCAGAGATATAGATTCTAATGCCATTTCCTCAAAGTATTCCATGTATATATTCGCCATTGCTGGTGATAATGGCGAGCCCATTGCTAAGACCTCATCCTGTCGATATATGTGTGATCCCATTCCAAAGTGTGTTGTTTGTGTACACAAAGTCAACATCTCCATCAGATTATCTATTGGAATACTGATCCTTTCTTCTAGGGATGAGTCAGAGGCCAATCTGTCTCTGACTACTGAGAGTGCCTCCTCCGTGGGTACCTTGGTGAACAAATTCACCACATCCAAGCTCACCATCTGGTTGGATAGGATGAGAGCATCTTTGATTATTTCCACGAAGTGGGTGGAGTTCTGAACATATGAAGGAGACTTTCTGATCAATGGGTCAATTATATCTACAAGGATGCGACTCAGAGGGTGGCACACAGAGCCTTGGCAACTAACAATCGGCCTGAGTGAAATGCCGTCTTTGTGAATATTAGGGAGGCCGTATATGTGAGGTAACTTGGTGTAACGCTGCGACAACTGCCTATACATCTTAGGTGTGAAGTGATCCCTGTTCTTGATTAGTATCTGTGACAGTTTGCGTTCTGTTTTCATTGCAGGATCCTTTTTCACTTTGCTGTAGTTACCATTGCTAATGAGGTCTTCCAGCTTTCTTGTATAATCTGATCTGTCCATCACTACTGTCACATTGCCTTTGTCAGCCGGTAGTATGATGATGTTTTTGTTCCTCTGTAGTGATCCGATCGCCAGTCTCTCCAGTTTCATGATGTTTAACCTGGTCAGCTTGGCCTTCTCCAAGGTCTGTCTCACCTTCCATCTCAGTTCATCTGCCTGAGCCTGAGGGAAGTTCAAGGTCACCTCCTCAACTCTGGCAATGATGCCCAAGTATGGCACTCGCCTGATGGTTGTGACGAAGTTGAGACCCTTATTCAATACTGACTCCACAGAGGCACTCAGCTGATATTGGCTGATGTTGATTACTGCTTTCACTGGTGAGTGATGGACCTTGTGCGTCACCTTCTGATCGTTCAATCTGTTTAATTTTTGTACTTGGCGAACCTTGACTACATTGAATTCATGTCTGAAGGATTTATCCTGGTCATTTCAGATCCTTCTCCAGTCTTCTTCATTGGTAATTCTGTTGAAGAAATCCTTTAGCCTCAGGGAGATTTGAGCTTGTAGGCTCCGTTTTATCCAACAATTGTAATGGATTCTCTCCCAGCCAAGGGCGGCGTGTCCTGCTTTTTCTGCGACCAGACAGGCTCTCCTTGAATTGATGGGAAATCTTGGTGCCAAGCCTGAAGGGATAAATTGTAGATCTCTGCATCGGTGTAGGAATGTCAGATAGTTTGATATTTGTGCCAGTTTCTGGGAGGATTTTTCAATTTGTCTATATATTTTTGGTGTATCAGATCCGTACCAATCTTTCAGTATCTATCTATATTTCTGAGATGAGGTATTATGTACACTATTTACATTATTCGTACTATTGTCCTCATCTGAAATAGTTGTTTTCTACAAACATTTAAAGATTAATTTACTGATGCAAAAATAAGCAAGCAACAATTGTTTAAAACAAAATAACCAAAAGAAAAACAATTCTGTATCACCTGTTGTGTTTCTAGGAAAGCTTTACCAAACATACTGTCAAAATAATTTGGAATTTCTTGATTTCGAAGAGCTTTCTTTGCCATTTCCTCTTCAAGATTATCTTTCTGCATTTTCTCTATATTTGGTACGTTCTGGCTTTCTTTCTGTTTTTGTTCAATAACTGGTAAAGTCTGATTTCTTGTAATTCCTTGTTGGTACAATTGTTTTACATCACCTAAAAAACAAAAAAACGAAACACTCTTCTTTAAATTTTAGCTAGAAACTTAAAAAAAAAAAAAACTTTTCTCCAGAAAATCTGAAACACTTTTTAGCCATTTTTAATTTTCATTCTAAATATCTAAATATATTGCAAGAAGAATACAAGAATTTCCTGCTGATAAAATTTATTTGTTGCCTTTTTCCTTTTTCTTTTATTTTTTTGCTAATGTTCACCCAATACAAGTCCCAAGAACCACTTAGGTAAAATGTAACCAAATGAGGTTGTCATAAGGACATACAGGGAGGAAGCAAAAAGTGTATATTATAAGAATATATAGGATAGATAATGGTTGACCCTCGACTTGAAGAGGCTAAGATTGTATTGATCAAGGAAGCATCCTCTCAGGCGTCTGTTTCATAACAGAACAATTCTGGGGAAGAAGCTGTCCAAGTGGAACTTCCTTCTCACCAATGAAAAGGGAGTTGACTCAGTGTAGGTGGCATGGTGGGTTCTAGTTGTGAACTAAGGAATATAGTTCACCAAAAACATTTGCCATGAAAATAGCAACAGAGTAGCACAAGGCTGTGGGGAAAGGTATGGTAGAAAAAAATTCATCACACACAGAGCCACACAAACACTTTTGAACTCAATGCAGGAGAGTGAGGATTGGGAAGATGTGGCAACAATACTCCATTTTTAGTCTAATCTGGCTCTTATAAAAAAATAGAGAATGGAAAGAGAAGTCAGATACATTCTAGAGTAGTACAGGGAACTGACCATTATTCCAGCGTCTTTAACAATGGATCATATATGAGGTCCACTTGAGGTCTGGTGTGAGCTTGAGTCCCAGTAGACATTCTAGGAAAGGAACCTCATTCAGGGTACAACTATTCATCATAGGAGAAAACTCAGGCTCTTCTCTGTGATGATGAAATGTTACTAGCTTGGTTTTGGAGGTATTGAATGTTACAAGCCAGTTCCTGTTCCATTAAAAATGTGCAGGGGGCAAGATCAGAGGAGAGATCAGCTGCAAGGTTCTAGTCATCTAAATTTTTGGTGGTGCTCCCTTACCTGAATATTTTGAATAGTAATCTTTGTTCGCATTAAACTATTACAACTGTGCAATTTTACTTTAAAATACAACATCTATAATGATTTACTAATACAAGTCCAATTAATTAACCCATAACAGGGGAGGAGAAGGATATTTTGCATGTAAGTGAATATAACAAACCTGACAGGAATTGAAACTTGACTTTTTGATTTTCAGTTTCAAGCCATTATCCTTTATATCACCAGCACATCCACGTTTACAGAACCTGGTATTCCGAAGCAGTCACCCATCTAGGTACTTACCAGGATCGATGTTACTTAACTTTGATGATTATACAAGAACTGATGTTCCAACATGACTTAGTACAGCATCTTATAAAAACTATCTCACTTGTTGGCTATTGTGACATGTGGGGGCTTCCTCATTTTGATCAGTTCCACAGCAGCAACATCAGAAATAATCAGCAGTGTACAATCAGAAGTCCCAGAGGTCCTAAAAGCCCTGACCAAGCCCTATCTGGCTTATTTCCCACTTTTCATTGTCAGTGGCTGCAACATTCAAGCGTAGCTCAAAGGGCTACTCAACCCTTGCTACAGAAGATGAGGCCTGTCCTAACAGTTTCATACTTAGATTTTTTGTTCTTCCCATGGTAACTAGCGAAGAAATCTCTCTCAACAAAACAACTACTCAAGAACTTTGTTAACTTGAAAACCCAACTTTTTTCCCATAAAATACTACTATTTTGCACTTTCTTTCAACCAGAAATAAAAGCTGTTGAACAGTTATTTCAAGCCTTGGGTTTCCTTCCACTCTCACTGCCGAGCACGCACACACACACACAAACACACACATGCAAAAGGGAAAAATTCCTACAATCAATAGAGATGAACATCAACAAACCATCTCATCTAGACAAACTTGAATCATCTCTCTTGAACAATGTTGACATAATCAGAAGCATGCAAAACAATTCAACACTATATATTCAAAGTAAACTATGACTAAATTAATTCTCTTTATATTTTTATAATATTAAGATTTAAAGAAAAAGGTAGTTTTTAAGGTGACATTCAGCAGTCATTTCTTACACTCTCTTTTTTTTCAGACTAGTTTAACAATGTGTCCATCTATATCATACAGAATCTGAACTGAGGTTTTAAAAAAACAACTTGTTCCTACTTTATACTTTTTTCAAATATGAAAAAGTTTTCCTTTGATAATTACACACAATGTTTGTTTTCTTCTATGTGTATTCACTTTAACATACTTACATTACTTGTATTGTTTTACTGTCACAGAGAATACACACATCCCAAGTTTCCAAGATATTACAGAGCTCAATTGTAAAAAGAATAATACAAAAAAAAAAATGATTTAGTCAATACTTTTAATTTTATACTCGAGTAAACAAAACTCCAATAAGGAACATTTGTAAACTATAACACTCTCAAACATCAGTATACTACCTTCTTGGAAATTTATAAATGAATGTAATTTCCTAATATTTTTGAGTTTTGTGTCAAGATTTGAGTTTTTTTTGTATTTCTTATTTCCTATTCATGCTAATATTATAGTTTAACCCAATGATTAGAAAAGAGCTGGGTTTGAATCTTACCATGGTTGATTTCTCAAGGAGGACTTCTTGATAATATCAGCCTTTGAAAACAATCCCAATGTGGGACAGTGTTGGGAAGTGTCTGAAAACCAGACAATGGGTTGATCTTAGCATTGTGATTGAAATTGGGTAGATGAAACAGTACAGAAGCCATCAACAGTTGTGCTAGCACAAAATCATAAGCTGTTATGAGCAAGGGTTTGAGCATACAGGCTTTCTTCAACTAGTGATCATACCAGAGTGTACACTCTCCCAGAAACTAGAATTATGATCCATTCAACGTAGTTACAGTATAAACTGTAGATTGGCTTTGTGGCTGTTGAAAAAACACAAATGCTTCTGCAACAGTCATTACTAGACACTCTAGTAGACTCCATCATCTCACAAGACTAATGGATGTTGACTACTACTAGAAAAAAAATGAAATCATGGAAGGATTTTAAAATGATGATTTTTTTTCATTAATACAATAAAAATTATAACAGAACACTACTACAGAATATTGTTATAGTTGATAGAATAAAATAATGTTAAACTCTAATAACAGTTTGGAGGGCTGAGTTTCAATCCCAGTCAGATTCATTATATTCACTTACATGCAAATCCCTATGGGTTAAATAGTAGGACTTCCATTAGTAAATCTCCAGAAAACTTATACAATCTAAAAATATTTTCTGCTTTTAAATAACCTGCAAAAGATTGATAAGCCATAAAAAATCAATCAACCAATCAATCAACAACTAACAGTTGTATACCTGGTAAAATTAAAGTCTATATTAAATTAGAATAAAGCATACTGGTGAATGATTATAAAACAAGATTACATACTTATCTTTAACTGAGGTCGTAGTTGTTCTTTCAAATCAAACTTCTTGACATTTTCTTGCAGAACATCAGCCAATTTCTTCTCCTCCTCTGAACGATTATCCAGTACTTGTGATTCAATGGTGCGGCTACATCGGTTGAAACAGTATTCAATATAATCAGAGAGTCCTTGCTGGATACTGGAAAGAAAAAATACTTATATCCAGTGGCAGACTGACCAAGGTATCAGCTTACCCAATGGCAAGTGGGCCACTGATGCAGTCAGGGACCCCTATATCAAATAAAAATGCAATAAATAAACAGAGATAATTGTTTTAGTAATAAAGTGAAATAAAAAAAAAAAGAGAAGAGGACACAAATAAGCAGTACTTGAAAAGGAATGAAGCACGACTGGTAGTGGAAGGATATGGAATAGGGAGGGGGGGCCTGGGTGTCAGACATAATGAAATTCCATGTTTTCGGCAAGAGTGATTTGAGATGGTTAGTAACTTGGAAGTATATTAATCAATAATCTTGATTCAGCCGGTACATCAGTCCAAGGACTGGAGAGCCAAAAAGGGTAGCGTGAATCTCTGAAGGGCCCTTAAAAATTGTAATTAATTAGATAAATAAATCTCCAACTTTTTTCCAGTGTTTTGCATTCTAACTTTTTTTTAAAAAAAAGAGTAATAACAAATAAAAATGCAATAAGGCAAAAAATCAAATAATCACTCAGTGTATGAAGGAATGAAGACGTGTTAAATGGAGATGAAAAGGAGTGGAGGTGGGGGGGAATCTGGTTCAATAAGGTCGGACACAGTTGGAAATCTACATTTTCAGCAACAGCATGTGAATTTAAAGATAACATTACAGTTCAGAATTTGAGATGTTTGGCAACTTAAAAGGATATCAAGTGGTACATAAGGTCAATGAAAAGTTGTGTGTGTGTGCCCCTTTTGTCTCTTGACAATCAATATTTTTAGACACAGTCCACCACTGCTTATATCTTTCTAGTGTACCAACAAGAATTCAATTCCTGGCCATATAAAGTAATTCTTAGTTTAACAATATGCTTTGCTGGAAAAGGAATCCTTTTAGTTTTCTATGATAAGGATAAGACTTCATTATTTGCATAAGGGAATGTAACCTACATGGTTGGCTTTGCTATTTAGATTCTCTTTCCAGGGTAATTCTCAAAGGGCAGAAAGAGCTTATAAAATATATATGCACAAACCGCCTGCAATTTCTTATTACTATAAACATTATTTTTTTAGCGATACACATCTTTGAGTTGCTATTCCAGCAGTGAAAGCAGTGAAATTACTAACAACCAGCGTAAATTGAGAAATCCTACTCAAGAAAAATTGTGTCATCTGACAGGAATTGAACCTGCATCCCTTTTTTCTATCAGGAAAATTACTTTTTGAGCCAAAATGTGCTTCTACCAGTTCAGCCACAGAGACCAACCTGACTAGCCAAGATTGAAATTACATATTAAGTAGGGCATGTTTTCTCACTGGGACATCTACAAATATATATCTTCTAGCTTCAGTTTCATACCTAAAGCATAAACAATAATTTTTTTGTGATGTCAACGAACACTTGTTGCCACTTTTGTAATGCTTGTTGTAGTAGAGACTTTGTAATCGCAGATACAACTATAGTAACACCATTGAACAATACTGGTGTCTGACACCTTCAAATATCATTCACAGTAATAGTACTTGCTTGATAATACTCGCTCAAATAGTAACCACCAAAGAGTGATCCAAACAGTAATCCGTATAGTGATCAGTATAGAGAATAAAAATAGTGGATAGAGTAGAGAATAGCGATCCGTATAACAATGGAGGATAGAATAGAAATGGTGATCTTAGTAGAAATGGAATCACCTGTGTTTGCTTACTGGTGATCTGTGTTCAAATTCCAGTGTTAGCAACAACACTTTATTCCTATATGACAAATTTTTAAAAAGATTTTTTGTCCAACACTATTTCTTAATACTATAAACGTTCAATGTAAGTTCCATGACAAGATATAAGAAGTGGCGATATGTTACCAGTTTGCACCAGTTTGCGTGAAGAAATTCTTAAAATTATAAAAGCTTAGCAAACTGGTTGTTGGATTATCCAAAAATAATCTTATATATTAATAGCCGATATATAATAGCTAAAAATATTAATACCATTGCTGTAAATCCTACAGGGGATGAAAGAGGGTTTTCTGTGATTAACATAATTTATTCTGATAATAGAAATCATTTTGAAGGTAACAATGTGGCAAATCTTCTAGTCATAAATTTGATAGTTCTTCCATTGGATCTTTGGGACTGCATCAATTCATTTCAAATGTGTCTAAGAAACAATAACACAAGTGATGACACTTGAGTCAAAAAGCATCATACTTCTGAAAAGAAATATGATGAGAACAGAATTTCAATCTGGAAATATCTTGATAAATAAATGTTTTCTATTAAATTGTTAAAATGTTTTAATTCTTTTTGATACCATAGAGTGATTTGTTTCCATTGTCAGATTGAAAAGAAAATGAGCAGAATAGATTCCTAAAGATTACCTGCCTTTATAGATGTGGTTCCTGGAAATTTAGAATGCTATTATTGAATATAAGAACCTCCACATTGTTTCCATTGAAAAAAATCTAACTCAAGTATTGAAAGCTTTGTTTTTTTATTAAGCTTTGAAGAAGTTCAAGTGTTGTCCTTTCATCAAAATAAAGCCTTTTCCGCTGCTCAATATTGCATTTGCCTTACTTTTTTCTGAACACAGTAAGAAATCTACTGAAATCAAAATGACTTTTGTATTGCTGCAGCAATATAGAAGTAATTATCACTTCAATCCCTGGGCTGGGTATTACAAACTCAGACTCAGTGGAAACAGGACTGGCAATAACTGAGCAATAATAAAGAAATAATTGGACTGGGTAGTACAGACTCAGATTCAGTGGGAACAAGAGTACCAGTAACTGAGCAGTAATAAAGAAGTAATTGTGAGTTCAAACCCTGGACTGGGTAGTACAGACTCAGACTCAGTGGAAACAGTACCAATAACTGGACTGTAAATAAGGATAATTCCTCATCCCAAAAATTCACACAGAAGAGATAGGAAGTTGTGGAGAGCCATGATAAATCATGCTTTGAAGGGACATGACATATAAAAGAAGATGCAATATCTTGAGATTTAAATATAAAGACAATATATTTACCTTTCCCTTCCTTCTTCATTAACCAATGGATACTGAGTGAACTGCCGGATCTCCAAGATATCAGGACATTTTACAGAATCAGATTTGATCTTGTCAGGGTTAATAGCTGTTTGCAGACGAATACTTTCTGGAATAATTGATTCTAATTCATATTGGCTCAGCCAACTATCAGGAAAGGGCTTGTATGGTTTCAACAAAGTGATCCCATAAATCCCAGGTTGATCTTGAAACATATCTTTCAGAATAATACAAGCAGGATCTTGCTTTGACCAATTGAGGTAGTTATCAATGGTTTCACCAGGATGGATTTCTCCTCCACTGCCATCGGGAAGAAGAAAAAAAATCCGAGGGGCATGTCTCTTGTACTCAGTAATTTGTGGTGGTTCTTCAACCCGAATAAATTTTTCAGTAACATTATTGTCTGAACTTTCTTTTATGATTTCATGATGGCCTTTATGGTCCACTTTGAAGGTAATTCCATCAGGATCCACAGTTTCACAGATAGTCGGCGCATTATGCTTGAAAGTATAGAAAGTTTCTGGCTGGTTAGTGTCGTCAGCAAGGTTATTAGAAAGTGGACTTGTGTAAGTCAGAGTCCCATCCAAATCTAAGTACAATCTGTCACCTGCATTTTCTCCTGCTAATAAGAGACTATAATAACCATCAGGAAAGACATTGATCAATGTCCCATTGGCCAGTAGTGTGAGGTTCTCACTTGTTTTGCTGTTAAATTTTACAGTTGCATAACTGGGACATTCTACCATGATAAACATTTTCTTGCAGGGCTCATCTGTAAGAAGAGAAAGAATAGATAGCATTCAACTGTTTTATATGGATGCTTCAATTATCATATATATTTATAGGTAAAAGTGCTCAATATCAGGGATAGAATATATGTAAATATAAAAGTGGACACTGTGGTCAACACCGAATAGTGAGTCTGTTTCATGTTTGAAAGCAATATTCAGGCCATCCTGAAGATTGTGTTCAAGCCTGAAACAGACTGTCACCATTCGATGTTGACCTCAGTGTCCACTTATAAGCAGTATGGATACAGAGATTTACATCAAACAGTGACAGTCTTTGATGGCCTGAAGATTGCATTTAAGCCTTTGGTGTTGATCTCTGTGGCCACATTGGTTATATTTACAGACACTTTATCCTAGATATTGAGCATTTTTACTTCATAAATACAACACACCTTAAAACTATATTTTATCATTCATTCATATATATATATATATATATATATATATATATACAGGTTGTGATGAATAAATTGTCATCTAAATTACGCAAAAATGAAAATAACAATGACATCTCATTTTAACAGATATATTTACCAAAATTACACAAAAGTATCTTGAAATAATAAAGAGTAAATTTATTCAATAAAATCACCATTGGCCTCAACCACAGCCTCCAGATGAATTCAGAATCTCCTGCAACTCTTCTAAACAGTTTCCTTGTTTAAGATGGTGAATGCTGGCATAATCCTTGATTTTAGTTCATTTTTGTGTTACCCCACATAAAATAATCAAGGGGGTTGCAGTCTAAAGAGTTAGGTGGCAAATAGTAAGGCTAATGTGGTTACAAAAATTGTCTGCTAACCATGACTGAGTTCTCCTGCTTGTGTGGTATGGTGCATTGTCCTGTTGCTAGACATAGAGTTTTCCATCAGCCACACTTTTGATCCAGGGCACACTACCTCTTCAAGGAACTTGATGTAGGCCTCCATATTGAGTCTGAGGCTCTGTGGGAAGATGAATGGAGGCATAATGTCACTATCACCAGTGATCACTCCAAACACCTTCGTAATCACCATTAGACTCATCCAACTCTTTCCGAATCCTCTGCACTGTATTCATATTGACACACAAACACTCTGGAATTTTCATGTTGGAGCTTCCAGCATGTACAGCATTTTTTGAAATTTCTGGTGGAGTGAATTATGTCATAGTACTCTTTTACTCACAGACGGTGCCCAACTGAGCCTACTATACTGTGCAATCAACAAAATCAAAAACAAACAACATGTATACATGAAATTGAAAATATAAAATGGTGACAATTTACCCATCGCATCCTTTATATATATATATATATATATATATATATATATATATATATATATATATATACCCTTGTGCAAATTAATTGAAACAAATAATTCCATTATTATTTACTTTCTTTTGTAATTTTCCAATGAAACATGACACAGTGCACATGTTAGTATTTCATATCTCCATTCCATGAAGTCATTTCTTGGAGATTGACCACAGATTCTCAATTGGATTTAAATCAGGAAAGTTTCCATGCCAGTCTATAGTACTTTGATTTGCTCACTGGTAAGGCTTACCAGTGCGTTCACGCAGTGTTACACTTTTCATACGCATCCTTGAAGTAACATCCATCACAGACAATGGCCGTAGGACAACTAATCAACAACTGGGACAATAGTGTCTGTGTGTGAAAAAATCTGATACAATCACAGATGACGCAATACTTTTCAAGGCTAAACAAATTTCATCATACACCCCGAAAACAGATTCATATTAATAAACATCACTGCAAATGACCTAATCTGAGGAAAAAATGGAAATTGATTACACCCTGACACTCCAATGGGTCTAAAACTGACTGTATTATGAAAGAAAGGATACTAAAGAAGTTGTTTCAATTAATTTGTGCAAGGATATATATATGTCTAAACAATTAAGGGATTTATTTTTAATCCAACATTTATGCGCAGGCCTGGAGATATAGATAATACACACAGTTTAAAAATAATATAAATAAAAATAAATAGGACATTTTTTCAAATACAAGTATCCACTATAATAACATTTGATGTGATAAAAATGTCAGTTCAGAAATAAATTCATTAATCCTTTAGAAATTTGTTTATGTTTCAGATACAAAACTGAGCAGATATGGGCTTTTGAGAGAAATATCTGAATGAAGAGGTCTTTTTTTTTCTTAAATCTTTATATTATTATAAAGAGGAAAGACCAAATGATTTTTTGATTATTAAATTATTTTTTTATCCTTTTTAGAACGTTCAAAATTTCGGTTAAGAATCTTGTTTTTCTTGCATCAGCAGCAGAGATCAATGATTAATATAGAAATATTAGAATCTCTTTTGTGGTGAAAAACACATTGATTTGGAAATTCTTGCAAAAATTAAATAATTGTTGGATTTTAATGAAACTTTCAGGACTTATTCACAAATGAATGAAATTATTTTAGAAATATTTCTCTTTTAGAAAATTTTGGTAAAATCAATTTTTTTTTTACATTTGTTACTTATCTACTTACCTACTTATTTAATTTTATGAAATTTCAACAAGTTTTGCACTGCTTAATGGTTATAGTAGTTATACGTAGAACTCCTTGGAAAATTTAAATCATCAATTTTTTTTTTGTAAAACAGGACTTTGAGTTACTGAAAATCTGCTCTGAATCATAAAATAAAAATGCAATTAAACTAAGACAATATTTAATTAGAAAATCTTTTAATTGCTTTTATGAATAAGATATATTATGGACACTATTGTCTTAAGAAAGAAAATCTTTTTGATAAATAATGAATTCATTTTTTTAAAATTTTAATTAGAATAATTTATAAAGTTTTCATTTTTTAATTCTACATTAATTTTTAGTAGTTAGCTAATATTACCAATATTTTTAAAATAATTTTGAATTTTTTTTTGTATGTGTATAAACATGTCAATTTTTGTAAATACAGACATCCATACACAACATTATCAGAAAATAAACATAAAGCCAAAGTATCTAAAATTCAATAAAACATTCCATTCTGGAGAATATTTTCCCAAATTTTTAAGATTACTGCATAGTTAAAAATGATATAAAATAAAAACCCACTAATGTTATATTTCTCAAGTAATTTTTACAGATATATCTAATGTAGAAAAAATTTAGATAAACTTCCAACTGTTAGTCAAGCTGTCAACATTTTAAACAAACAGCTACTACCATGCTAAAAAATGCATTTTTAAATTTAAAGTTAAGTAATATTTTCAAATCAGATTGATTAAACTTTAAATCAGCTATTATTACTCAAATATAGTTTCAGAAAAGTATATATTATTTTGCAAGGTTATTTAATAAAGAGAATTACATCATTATGACAGATGTCTAAAAATGGCACTAAAATCAGCAATTTTAGCAATATCAAAACAAAAACTACTTCCAGTCAATTTTAATTAGTTCTGAAACAGAGCAAAATACTTTGCTCATTGGAAATATTAAATTTAACCTATTAGCTTGAAATTAAAACTAAAATAAAAAAAGATTTTTCATTTTTAAAAATTCATTTTAAACCTTAGGTATCACATTTCTGTAGAGGTAGCTAATTTATCGTAATTCACTAATAACAACCTGTAATACAATAAGCATTGATTTAAAGGAGAGCAAAATGTCATTTATTTCACCTGATGATTCCATTCCTTCTATTCCGCAGTCCCTTTGTACTGGAGAAGTCATTTCTTCGTAGTAAGATGTAATTCGTGTTCCATCTTCATGTTCCACAATTGTTTTCCCTGTAGTTTCACTTACTAGGATTACATGGTCATCTCGAGTTAATATGGTCTACAATATAAATATAATCCTTTTGTGGCATTTTGATGGGAACAAAAAAACACTCACATCAACTTAACAAACTCACACAAGCCAATAAAATATAAAAATTAGGCAATGTCTAAAACCGAAGTTCATTTGTGAAAATCACCTTTCATTTTTTTTAAACAATTTGTATTTACTGATTGATATTATTGAATGATAGATGTATAATTAGTATTATTATTGAAATTAGTAAATACAAAACACTTTAAATACTTCAATGTATGTATTTTTTTAATCAATTTACCTCAAGCAAGGTGACAATGCCACTAAGACACAAGGGGCTACTGGGAGTGAAAGAGAATGAAAAGATTTTAGAACTAACTGGAAACCCAATCTTAAACAGGGAACAAGAGATAAACTCCTGTTTAAAGGCCAGGGAGTAGTGAGAGCTGGGCAATATACAAATCTATCTATTCCTATTGAGGAGATAAAAAAATAAATAATTAATGAATAAAATTTAAGAGTTCAGATGGAGACGTCAGAAATGTAGAGTTGAAGTATGCTTTTGAAGGAACCAGAAACCCAATCCTAAACAGGAAACATGGGATAAACCTCTACTCCTGTTCAAAAGATAGGGGAGGAGTGTGACAAAAGGTCAGTTTAATGCAGCCCAGCCATTTCAACAGTTGGTTAAGTTGGCATCTGTATTACTACCAGTCCCCTCTCTTTCTTTAGTGCATGAGCAGCTATCCCTGATACTGGGCATCTCACAATAATATTTTCAGTTGATATCTGTCAAAAGATAGAGACACAATCGAGTTGAGAGATAAAATGTAGGTTATCTTCTGAGGGCAGATACTACACTTTGATCCCAGTCCAATGGCCAGAAAGTAAAGAAAAGCATAACTCAAGTAGCACTGACTACTAGGTCCATGAATGTCAAATATTTCCAGCTAAAAGAAGCAGCTAACATTAGTATTACCATTAGAGATAAAGTGAACAGATGCTACACTTTGATTCCAGCCTGATGGCCAGGGAGCAATGAAAAGAGTAACTTGAGTGTTGGAAAGTAATTACACTATAATTCCACTAAGACACAAGGGGCTACTGTACTGGGTGTGAAAGATAATTAAAAGATTTCAGAAGGAATCTATCAACTCCTATTGAGGAGAAAAAAAAATAATTAGTAAATAAAATTTCAGAGCTCAGATGGAGACTTTAGAAGTACAGAGTTGAAGCAGACTTCATAAGGAACCTAAGCCAAATCCTAAAAAGGAGAGAAGGGAGAAACCTTTACTCCTGTTCAAAAGTCCTGACAAACCTATCTACTCTTATTGAACAGAAAAAATAAATAAATAAAATAATTAGTAAATAAAATTTCAGAGTTCAGATGGAGGTGTTAGAAGTATAGAGTTGAAGTAAACTTTAGATAGAAACAGAACCCAATTCTAAACAGGAAACAAGGGATAAAATTCTACCCCTGTTCAAAAAACTGGGAAGGAGTATGAACTGAACAATAGGTGAAGCTATCTACTCTTATTGAAGGAAAAAAATAGGAAATATAATAGGAAGTAAGGGATAAACCTGTTATTCCTGTTAAAAAAAAACCTGCAGAGGAGTGGGTAACCAAACAACAGAAATAATATAAAAAGAAATTTAAGTTAAATTTATTTAAATATTAATCATGAAAAATATAAATCATCTTCATTTTCAATGACTTTGAATTTTCAAAGATGAATAAAAATCAACATGTTGCTTACCTGGCCAGATTTAATATCTGATTTCATACTGAACAGCACTCTAGGTAAGTTAACTTTCTTTCCATCAGGAGTTAAGATAAACTTCTGTCCAGAAGGATAGGTGATGGTCCATTTCTCTTGCTTAAGATCTTTTTCATCAGGTTGCACTATGGGTGCTAAAGGAAGCTTCTCAGGGATAGATGCTTTCTTACCACCTGTTACGCAAGAACCTACATCAAATAGACAACAAATTTATAATGACGTTTTTTTTTTCTTGAAATACCAAAAAAAATTATAATTTCAAGACATTTTTATTAAAATGATTTATGATATATGCAACAACAAATAATACCAAAAATGAGGATTACTAATCTTACATCTGTAACTGCAGACATCAGGGAATGTCTTCTTGTGAGTGAACTGATTGTGACATGAACACAAGGAAAGGCAAAACAAGGTTTCTGCAGAAGAATGAAAAGTAACTAACTCTAACACTATAAATCATAGAATGCTCAGTTCACAATAGATCACTTTGGAATGCACTTGCAACCTTTGTTCAACAGCTGTATGCAACACTCTTCCTGCCATTTCAAGCAAATCCTTAAATACATGGTCAATTCAGGAATATTCATTAGCTAATCGTAATATAATGATTGCAATCACTCATGCACACTTTTTGCATTGCAAATGACCACTTACATGTGAAACGCAAAGCATCATACCCATTTAGTTTCAGGTAATTTGTTAAAGAATACCCATTTTATACAAGAAAATTAATACTAGGGTGGATGAAACTTGACTGCCAAAAAATATTAATACTGGTATTAATGATACAATTGATTTTTCTTTATAGGCATCTGTTATGGTAATTTACCCATGCATGTATGTTCTCTCCCAGCTATAAATAAGAGCAGGCACAGCCTTTTGCAGGGTGAAGTTTCCAGCAGTCAGTTCTGACAGTCGAACTGAACATTCTTGCTGTAACACTCTCGTTTGTATATGTTTTGTGTTACTGTTTCTGTTGATATATTTGTTTAACTCAATTCCTCTCTTGTATCTTTATTTCTGGCCCTAACAAGGCCACAAAAACATTAAAAACTATTCTATGAAATATTTTACAAGCATTCTAACTTCTGTTGTTCATAGTATTTTGGCTGAAATTTTGTGATTGAAACAACAAAGATACTCTTCTGAGTAATTAATTAAATAATAACAAAACTTCATATTAGAACTTCAAATTGAATACAATAATGGTAGCACAAAATCAAATAAAAAATCAAGAAAAGAATGAAGCAAATTCTTTGTAAGTTCAACTATTTAGAATGGTTTATGTTAGAAACTTTATTTGAGAAAAAATATTTCAATATTTCACATTTTTTACAATAAATCAAGTCTGGATGTCTAGTCATAAAGATATAACCATTCATCTATATTCTATACAGTGGGCAAAATACATCAAAGAAAGACAAAAATATGAAATATAAAAGATTAAATTAAAAACTACTGTTAATTACAAACTGAAGGATATTTGACAAGCTGTTTACCACACAAAATAATTTTGTGAAAAATACTTATTGCTACATTATTTAACTCAAACAGCTAATAAAAATTATTGCAGAGTATTTATAGTCCTGAGAGTGTCTCCCAGTAGTGGTTTTGAAAATTAAGAGGAAGTAACCTGACATATCTGACAATTTACTTTGAATAAATGTTTCTAAATATTTTAATTATACCAGCTTTATTTATTGAAGTTTATTTCCTTTTATTTGCAGATTCTATTTTCTTACACCTTTAATATTTATTCACAGAAAAATTATTGGGTTGTTTTTTCAGTAATTAGAAAAGAAACTATTAAAACTAAAAATATCAACAATTATGAGCCAATGACAAGATTTTAAAATTTTGCTTTCAAGTCAGCAGTTTTAAGCCAGCAACTTTTGTGTAAATAGATGGCAGAACATGAACTGAAGGGTAATAAGGGGACAGATATTACAGCTACAAAGGATAGTATTATGCTACTTTAATCAATATCTCTTTCTGATTCATAAATACATTTCACTAGACATATAGGCCAGATGTGAAAGCTAAGAAAGCAAAACACAAAATAAAAGAAGTTATCTTCTGTGCAAGGAGTCCAAGCATCACATCTGGTCCACAAAACAAATTCCCGCAAAAATCAAAAATGTAAAAGTCAATCATGAACATTGCCCTCACACTAAAAAAAAACAAAACAAAGACAAACGTACCTGTTAAACCACAGATATAAAACTAGCACTCCAATGACAGGCAGTTCAGCTTCAATACCTCGACCTCATTACATGACAGCAACCCATCAAATACCTAAATGGTTTCAATCATACAAGGCATACTTCATCATAACCAATGACACCCCCAATCGACTTCAATAATCCACTCCAGTCCTCTCTGCCAATCAACCCAACAGATTGGTCAACTCCCAGCCACTACCGACAACACCCTTACACCAAATCACTTTCTTTACTAACAGCAATTAATGAACTGCATATTAATAATTTTTCTACCTTTTGAAACAAATATGTATATATTCTTCACACTTGATCAATACACATTATTGAAATTTAATCCTTGTTTGTTCTTTCCCATGCAACCATATACTTGTTATAACAGGAAGCTGTGGAGAGCCATAATTGACCATGTCCTGTAAGAACACAGCACATAAAAGTAGAAAGATTTCTATATTAATATATTGGTTTGTACTTAGCTGTGTACTACTGAAAAGCAAGGTTTATTCCTCTATGACTACTACTATCACTGTTAGCAAATGTAGAGACATGCATAAGGTCCTTCAAAGGATGTTTTTTTACATCAAGAACAGAAATAAAAATGTTCAAAACTCATCTTTACACAATTGGATCCATGCATAAAAATAATTTATTTTGAAAATATTAACAATTATGGACAAATGATAAGTTTTTCAAATTTTGCTTTCAAGTTTACACTTTTGAGCCAGCAACTTTATTTAAACAGAAGCAGAATATCTTTAATTATCTGCCAAAATTATCTGAAATGTTTGACTCATACAAATCCAAGTTCACACATGCTTATACATATGTCAACATGAACATATTTTGCACACAAAATCTGACTGCTGGATGATCTACCTAAAAATTTACTGTGTATTGTAAATGTCTAATTACTTTCATCTTTTTTCCTCTATTCCCATCTTATACAAATGAATCAAATGGATGAGCTATAGAAGAAAAAAATAATCTCCCAGGCTGAACTTCCACCATTATAAGCATTATTATATCTATGATAAAATAATACCTTATTTCATGGACAGAACAGAATAGCTGAAAAAAAAAAAGACATGACAAACATACTTTGTTCTCAGAAAGTGTTTTATACTGCTAAGTCATACACAAAATTAAATACATATATTTACACATCCCAGAGAAACTATAACAGATATATGCAACAAGCAATGTGAAAAGTATACATAAGAGAGACTGTGGAATAATGTATTATTCCATCTCGACATTTTACGCGACGCGCCGAAGTTTCCTCCCTTTCTTCCACACTGTGTGTGTGCCTTGTGTTTTGACACCCCTTTCTGCCTCTTTTCAGTCTAATACAGTAGTAACTGTTTTGGTCGGCAGTCAAAACGACCTGCTATTACTGTTTATGCAAATTAGATTTTTTGAAATCTTCCCTTGAAAAATTTGGACGCCAACGATAAACTGTTGTTTCAGAAAAGTTAGTGGTGATCCAGACTGGACCTAAGCAGACTCATTTTTGTCCATGTCAATATTTATTGGTTGACTGACGAAGGATATCTTACGATGCGACCACAAATAATTAATTCCTCGTCCTTTTGGGCTCGTCATTCAAAGTCCTCCTACGAGACGATGCGAACACCAAATAATTAATTCCTCGTCCCTTTGGCTCGTCATTCATAGTCCTTCTACGAGATGATGCATCACCAAATAATTAACTTTTCGTCCCTTTTTGGCTCGTCATTCAAAGTCCTTCTACGAGACGAAGTAACACCAAGTATTAACTTTTCGTCCCTTTTGGCCTCGTCATAAATCTGTTTTGAACCAGTACAAAAAAAAAAAAAAAAAATATATATATACATAACATTTCACTCACATTAGCAAAAACTCGCAGTGAGTATTTTTCCTTGTATGTATATTATCATGTACATTGACTTATCTGGAACCTTCTTCTTCTTCAAGAACTTTTCCCGCCTTTAGCCATCTTGTTTTCTATTTTTGGCGCGGAACATTTTCATTGATCCCTACTACGGGATAAGTTACTTGTTTTTCCTGCATTTAATAAAAAAATTACTCTTGTTTGAATCCAGTCTTTTTCTGTCATTCTGTGTTGGCTATCTTAATATATTTTATTTTATGCACGTGTGGATTAACCACATTTCTTCGTAGTTCATTCACACATTTTTATCTTTTTTTACTTTGCTTGTAGACTCGGTAGTTTAGTGTGGTGTCTGGCACAAGGCCACTTCGTAATAAACCAGCACTGCACGCTGCCGGGTCTGCAACAAGACTCTCACTTATAAAAATTCCCAACAGGAATTTGAGCAGCCAGATGGTTCTTATGAGTTCCTGGAGAAGCCATATTTAGGTTTCCAAATGAATATTTGAGTGAGCCAAATTTATCTTTTATATCACTAGTGAAGACATTTCTCTCAAATAAGAAATGGCAAGTCATGGGTTTTTCCCAACAGGAATACTGCAAGCTGGAGATATTTTCTATAACTGGTGAAAATATACTTCCAAAGAAAAACAAAACCATGGTAGATTTAGCCTTGGCTCAAGTAAGTAGCTTTATCTGATGTCTGGGCTAAAAAATGCAACTGCTTGGTTTGAATCCTGGCAGGTGATTGAAGGACTGGCCACTTTCATCACTCTATGAAGTGACATCACTAAGAGGCCATCATATAATCCACATGACTTCATCACAAGCCAAGGGAGATAATCCCTACAGATCAAAGCACAAGATATAAAGATAATTTGTTCTTACACACAAAATCTGAACCCTCGATTATCTACATAAAGTTTACTCCTGTATATTGTAGAAGGCAAAATCACTTTCATCTTTCTCTCTTGATTTCATTGAATAAATTTTCTTTCATGTAACATGGAAATGAATTTGTGAACATTGAAATGTTTAAAACAAACAAAAAAAACACCTTTTACATTCACCTACTAGGCAAATAACATTTTATTTTGATATAAACTAAATCCTTTTTTGTATGTTGAATTGAAATACAAGCTTTGAATTTATTTTTGTGTGGGAATATTTATGATGTTAAATGTTTTCCTTATTAAATTGTAATTTCATAGTTTAAGGAATATAGGGAGAAACCTGATCAGGGAGTTGTGGGCATTGCTTTGTAACCCTCTCTATCTTATCAACATTTGTTTTTTTTTCTATCAATATTCATATACATTACAAATTAAACTAAGCTCAACTGGCTATTAAAAAATGAAAAATTTTAATGGATTTTGATATCATTCTAGGGTCTTTTTTTCATTTTTTTGCTCCTGTTAAGTCTCAAAAAAATGCTAGATAAAATTCAATATTTTTTATCTATAATGAATGTGTTAATCTATTCAACTTTTTAACAAGAAAAATCTCAAGTTGATGTTGAAAATTGCCGCAAGACATTGATTTATTTAAGAAGAAATTATCTATTATAATATGTCTCTAATTTGTATTTAGATACATTGTATTTATTTTTAATTTTTTTAGCTGAATTGTTCACCTATATTGCATATGATCCATTAATATACATAATTAGCTTACAATAAAATTTGTATTTTATATGAATACTACTTTATGAAAATTGAGATGAAGTAGAGTGGGTCAGGACCTCATCATAGATTTGGGGAGGTGGCTGTGAGAGCCTTGCACCAGCCCTGATATAAACAATCAAAAATGCTATATTAATTCCATAATATTATTGATGCTTGTCTGTAATTGAAGGTGAAGTGAATGAATGCATAATAATCCTTATGACAACAGAAAAATTAATTAATGCTCAGCTTGAATGTAAATACTGAAAACAAAGTAAATGAGATTTTTTGCATCTCTTATCAATGGTATTTTGAAATGAACTTGTTTTCTTATCTAACATTATTTTAAAAATAAATGAAATGCATGTATTTATGTTAACCCTGTAGGTTTCACTATAGAGTATAAGGTCACAACCTCACCTGGCAGATGTTACTATTGTGCTTTCTATAACAAGTAGGTTTTATAGAGAGAGTTGATAGTCCCACACACAACCAATTTTGAATTCAGAATTGGCCTTCTCCTACACTGGCTACCAAACCAAAACCAGAGAGCCTACTCTGCTAGGCTGTTTATCACTACCAAGGGAGGGAGAAGGGGTGGATTTATATCTTTCCTAAGGGTATTTGTGCAAAGGTAAAATGTAACAGTTGGAAATTTTACATAAACTAATTTTTTTTTATTTTTGTGTTGAATTTATTTTTTTGTGGGAATATCAATGATGTTAAATGTTTTCCTCATTACATACCCCAAAAACCTCAAACATGATAACCCCAGCATCAGTAGATGTGCTTCATGGAAGCACCAGGTTTCTGTTCCTTACATTCCTAAAATATCACTTTTGATTTGCATTCAAAAGAAAAGGTTGAGACATGTCCTGATGTCTGCAGTGAACACAAAGATATTTCAGGCATTTTTTATAACACCTATTTCAAAGAAGGTGCCTGGTATCAGATTACCTATGCCCAATACAAAACATTAACTGAACATTTGTAAAAACTTTACATCAGAAGCAATGCAAAAACAAAACCTTTTTTACTGAGGTAGAGAGGATCTAATTTCTCATTTACAGTTAATATCAAATAATTAAAAAAAAATTAATTCATAAGAAATCAAATACAAACTTGAAGCTGTATTAAATTCTGCGAAACTTTTATCTGATGAAACGCATTCAAGTTTTGCCACTGTGCCATCAACATAGAGAACCTGTAAAAATACAAAAAATGTTTAACCCATTCAAAAGGAAAATAAAATTTTTAATTACATAATAATTAATTTAATTCTGGATCAGATATGGTGAGCTTTATGTACCAATTTTAACCCTGATTTTAAACCTCGACTGCCATGCAGTCATATTCAAACATGTTAAAAAATTATGGAAGTAAATCCAAACAGTAAAGAAAGATCCGAAAGTAGTTGACTGTCAACACTAACAATTTTCCAGCAACTCCTGCAACCAAGCTGACTCTAAATATAATGCTTTGTATTCTTTTGGATCTTGTCAGTATGGCCATGTAGTCTGGGTAGTGAACAGCCTCTATATACCATCTTTCAAGTCTGCATCTCTCCAGTCTCATCACCTACTGAAATTTGATCAAATAGGACACTACCTTTATCTTGAGAGATAAATGGGTGTAACAATACTCCTCTAAATTATTGTTCTAATTATTAATCTATGTATTTTTATAATACTATGCAACAACAAATTGTTTCATGTATATGTCTGGCAGCCTGAACACGATGGTAGCATTATTTTGTCATAATATCAGTATTTTGTTTGTCATATCAAAAATCAGTTTGTCATATGTAACTTTATTTGTGCATCTCATATTTGTTTCCTTTGGCTATATTGCATTAAATATTAAAGTGATAAAAAAATTTATCACAGCATTAGATTGCGATAATGAAGCCTCTGCCACAGGAATTGTAGAAAACCACCCACATTCCCTTCATATTCCATCAGTGAGAAGTAAGTTCCACTTGAACAGCTTCTTCCTGCAAACCACTGCTCTGTGGAACAGACTCCCAGGGGGATTTTTCCCCAATCACTAAAATCTTAACCTGCTCAAGACTAGAGTTAACCATTATCTTCTTGTCTTATACATATAAGCTACCACTTAACACAACCTCAAGTGGCCCCTGATCCTTGTACAGAGTGATCCTTACAACAAAAAAAAAAAAAAAATTTAAAAATGCCAGAATAAAAACAATGTTTCTGAAATTGTCAGACATGAAAGTTTCTGTTGGTGTGTTTGTTAGGCTACAAGTGAAGCAGATGCTTGCATCCAAAATGATAATGATAACAATACAAAAAAAAAATAGATTCAAATGCATTCAAGAACACTGCCAATGGTTTTCTGGCAAAAAACAAAGTGGAGAATTACAAGTTTCTTAATGAAGAACTGCTTGACATTTACTGTAGTATGGGGTGCAAAATGTCACTCAGATGTCACTCAGGGAATGATTTCATCAGGACATGCAATTGATGGAGAAGCAATATAAGTGAAGGTTGGATGAAGCAATGATAGGTGCCTATATATAGAGTCAGTAGGATGCAGAAGGGGGGGGGGGCAGAAGGTGCAATGACCCTGGACATCCATATCGGTAGAGTATCCAATCAAAGAGTGAAATAAAAATTTAGTTTATATTTAATTTGAATAAAGTGTTTATTTCATGTTCCTTCTGTTTTTGCATATTTAAAATGTTTTCCTTTCTCACATTTCTCAGTACCAGGCCCTATAGCCCCCACCTCTTGAGTTTTAGGGGCATATAATCAAGCAGTTATCCCTGACATAACGAAACCTCTGCACATCACTGTATGGAGTCTAGTTTGAGAATACAGATCAGGCCACAAGTGACAATGATGGTTGAACATTCCCTTTTGAGCTTATTTATATTACTTGATGCAGTGAGCCTTTATACTAATAACATTATACTTTATTTGCTCATTATATAAAATATCTCATTATATATTATTGTGTTAATACAATATTTTGTTATTTAGTTTTTATGCATATCTTTGTTAGTGTAGAAAAACTGATGTGACTTTTGTATTAAGCATTAAGTCAAAATTGATACAGAAACAAAAAACTGTAACAAAACAGAATGTTATAAAATTTCGTTACCTGGTGCAATTGTTAATTGGCAATGATCTTAATTTATGATGTCATTATATTCCATGCATTCACATTCTCATGTTAAATGTCTGGTGGTTATCATTGGAGATCAAGTGACAGAAAGTTTCCCCAAATCTTTCGGTGTATACTTCAAGAAACCAATAATGATGTGACCTAAACAGTCTCTTGATCAAAATCCCCTTCCAGATAATTTTGTCTCATGTTCTGTCCTCTTCTTCCACCATCATAATCTGCTTTCTGTTTAATACAATCCCTTACCTGAGACCTAGGGTAAGGTGAGGTAGTAAATGTAAGCATTCTGCTTGCACAAATTCTGATGTTAAGCGCTACTTAACATGTATAGTGTTTATATTTTCTTTACATTGATAATACGCTCTTGATATAATGACAAATATAAAAATAGCAATTAAGACATTAGAATTAATAATAGTTACTAAATATGTGAGATTTTATAAGTAAATGAAAGTACTGACTGCAATGATGGAATCTGCAACAATCTTTTAAAGGGAGAGAGTCAGACTGCTTGCCTTGAAAGCTTGGATTTTAACTTGCTACAAATACAGATCACAGACACAAGAGATAAATATACAATTATTTCAGTTTCCATAGATACAAAAATGCAATATAAATGTATACACACACACACACATATATATATATATATATATATATATATATATATATATATATATATATAACAAGTTTGATCCAAAAAAGATTAAACAAGGTTAGTCTGTTTAATTTTTATTGTATTTTAAAGTGCATATAATATAATTAATGTGTGCACCTATTTTATTATAATAAAAAAAAATAAATCAATAAAATTTTTAATTAAATTAATAAATAAATAAATCACAATCTTTTTGCGCAGTCACATTTCCAATAGGTGTTACACATAACATCATGCTAGAGCATTTAAAGCATCCAGCTTCCCAAAGAATACCAAGATGCTTACAAATGAAGTCTAACCACCAGACAGACACCACATCATTTCATGATAATGACTGTGAAAGTCAAAGGCACTTAAACAAAAATAACAAAATATGAACTTTATTTTATCTACAACTTCAAGCACAATGCAATACCTTATCTGAAAATTAGAAAAATACAATAAAAAATTAAACAGACAGACCTTGTCGTTTTTTTTTTTTAATCGAATCTTTTTTGGATGAATACTTGCTGCCTAAATATACTTTTATATATATATATATATATATATATATATATATACACGTGTGTGTGTGTGCGTGAGAGAGTGAGTGTATGAAAAGAGAGAGAGCATTGTTGGTGAAGAGTAAAATCCTTTACCTCAAAAGTACCATCCTTCATTTTCTTGATAACTGTACCATCAGAAACAATGATACGGTGTTGCTCTTGGTAAGCATGTTTATTGCGGGTTGATTCACATGACTGGACCCCATGATTACGAAAAGGATAACTCTGTTTCACCAATATTCGATGATGATCGGGACTTACAGGCTCTATACCTACAAAGCAGGATAAATTACTATTTTTAGATTGGCGATCTATAAATCTTTGGTAAATAAGTATTTACTTTATCTACTAAAACGAAGGCATATCTAGTTTCACAATATCTTGGAGAATTTTTTTCTAATTTCAGAAAACAATACAAAATGGTTTAATCATAATGGCATCAGAAGAATAAATAAGAAATCACTGCCCTGAACCTGCATAATATTTTCATAATCTTTTATCAGTATTTTCTTTTATAATCTCAACTTATTGCAAAACACTTAATCATCATCATCATCACCATCATCAATCCTATATCTGGGTATGATCGTAGGGTCATTGTGCAGTTGAGCACCTGACCAGCTCCCTGCATCAGTCTCAGTTGCATGCCAATTCCTGAGTCTCTGTGAATGATCTTCCATTCTACTCAATAATGTTGTCAGCCCTTTTTTCCCCACTGTCTACCTCTTCTTTCATCTCAGATGGTACCTTATAAAATGGCAGTAGAAAGATTGTTGGTTCTCACGACATAGCCGGACCTTTTTAACTTCCTCTTCTTTATGATGGTTAGGTCGTTTTCCAATGGGTCTGTTTCTTATTTGATAGCATCTCGCACTGCATCATTTGTGATAACATGAATGCTCCTGCAGCATCTCATTTCTAATGCTTGGATTCTTCACAGTAATTCTGCTGTTAATGTCCAAGATTTGCAGGAGGACAAAAAAACTTAGAAGACCAATGCATGCAACAGTTTGTTCTTTGATTTAAGGCAGATGTTTGTCAGTAAGAGTCATTTCCTGGACAGTCCACTCCCAACTCAAAAAGTTGAAGCAGGAAATTGACCCTTGTCATCCACTCCATGGCTGTGAACCAATGACAAAGAGGTTCATATCAAGACCGTTTTTTACACTCAGCTAAACTACAAATTAGCTCCTAATATTTTGTATTTTTATGGCTCTTGCCAGTGATGCAGTATAGAAAGCACCCATGATACTGTAGTCAGTGTCTGTTCCTGTGGTGCAGTCACCTTAACAACATGGAACACAAGCTCTCTCTCTCAGCCCTACAGAAATGATGCCTGACCCTTCTGGCCCTGCCTAAATTGCCTCCAAACAGCTGTTGGTTGTTGTAGAGAAACCTTCAGAAATATGTCATCAATGTTGATCTCAACTGCCAATCACAAAGTATGGAACATCTAGTTTACCCCACTCTTGAAGATCCATGCACACTTAACAGCCTTAAAACCATAACACCCTAAGCAAGGCTCTGTGTGTAACACTGGATTGGTGTGGTGTAGCAAATCTATAAAAAGAAGTAGAGTGTTATTTTCTAATTGCTTCTGTTTAAAAAGCAAAGATAATGACTATTATTCTCTTCAAACTTTGCTTTTATGATCTGGACATCAATGTTTTGTTTTTCTGTCATTAATCTTAAATAGTTAACAAGTCGTAATATTTTATATCAATCTATAACAAATGTGCAAATCAAAATAGCTTTACAGACAGCAGGTAACAATTTTGTGTTTGAATGACTCCTGAATTATACAGCTTGCAAAAAGAGTCATGTATTCTGCTCACCATAAGAGTATTCTAAAAAATACTCTATTTTCAAGCCATCAGGACAGGTTATATACAAATTTTGGAAAGTTGGTTGCTGTGGCACAGTTGGCTCTATTGTTGACATTTTGACTTCTGGCTCAAATTCTTTGATTTCATCAGAGACCTTAAAATCAGAAAATGAACTTTTGTAGCAAATGGTCAAGAAATGACCCAAAAAAATAGGAAAAAATCATAGTATGATAAATACACAAAAGGGAAATAAATAAAGGATTAAGCATTCATTTACACACACACACACACATATATATATATATATATATATATATATATATATATATATATATATATATATATATATATATATATATATACATACATACAGGGTACAATGGATATATTGAAGTCTAAATGATGCAAAAATGAAAATAACACTGACATCTCATTTTTACCAAAATCTTGAAATACTAAAGAGTAAATTTATTCAATAAAATCACCATTTCACTCCAGAAAACTTCTGGACAGTCTCTGTTTTAAGTTGGTGAATGCTGCCATAATCCTTGACTTCAGTTTATCTTTGTCATTAAAGATGTTTTGTTGGCCTCTCTATCAGTTGCACTCCACACACAATAATCAAGTGTGTTGCAGTCTGGGGAGTTAGGTGGCCAGATGTAAACAGTGATGTTTTCACAGAAATTGTCTCACGGTCATGACTGGGTTCTCCTGCTTGTG